GCAGTTTTCTAAACAACAACAAACTAAGCAAGCAACTACTACAAACTGAGAGTTTGTTTTCCTCCTTTTATAAGATTTTAAAATCACGCGCTAGAATTTTCCAGTACTTTCTCGAAATCAAAAAGAGAGATATTTATTTATTAATGCACGCGCTCTTGTATTTTCAATTTTCCGGCTTAGCTTTCTTTTAATATTCGTCACGCGCTGCACTGCGCGAGAAATAAAACCATTTAATTTATAATTGAACTAACATTAGCTTTTTAAATACCAAATTCGTAACAGTATTTAAAATATTGTTTAAAATGTAAAAGTGCTAAAATTAGTGAACTCACTGAGTCATCATCATCTGATTTGGAGATGCACAAAATATTAGAATTGATCACAGTGTAAAGTGAAGGAATTTCGTATTTGAAGATTGGTTGTAAAATATGTTTTCGATAATAATCGGAGTTGATCTTAGCATTCTTCTCCATGCTTATTAATTTTAATTTAACGTGTGGCTCCATGCTTATTAACTTTAATTTGTTATAACCAGCAACAATCATAAATCCCTTTGAAAAGCATTCTTTAGATTCTTTGAACCATGTTTTAAAATTTTGTTATCTTTTTTGATGATAATAAATGGATCTCTTATTGCAGTCATTTAAATACACCAAAGATTTGTTGAACGTCACAGCATTTTCGTGACATTAGCAGCTCGTTCTGCATTCGGGATGGGAAGTGTCGTGAAGAAATGCGATGCACATTAGCATACTTATCTCTACATATAATAAAAGAAAGAGTCTGTCTGTCTGTGTGTGTGTCTTTCGTTCGCGCTGCGCGTAAGCTAATAGACCCACGGCTACGAAATTTGGTACATGGATGCATCTAGACACGAGCCAGTGCACCTTGAAGCGATTTTTTCGAAATTCGAATTAAAAATTTTTTTAATTTTATGTTTTGTGACGAAATCGCGTCATTTTGAGACATAATGGGCTATAGGAAAGCGAGATTTTACTCTACACACTCCATTTTCACATCGTCATGAAACGTAGGCTTTTAGCTATTTTACGAACTTAAAATAAATTTCGAGTTTCAATAAATCGATTAAATACGAATTTATTTAACAAAGGTAGCTTAACACCTTTTCGACGGGATTTTTTCTAACAACGTTTATTTTTAGAAATGTACAGTTTATTTTTCTTTGATTTTTGGACACGTTAAACTTTAAACCTTGCGACTGCTTTTACAAAAAGAATTTTGGAAAAATGATAATATTTTGTATTTTTAAAAATTTTTTAAATAAAGCTTCCGACTATATATATATATATAATACATTTTTATTGATCTTTTTTTGATAAAATTGTTCTGTAGAGTAAAATTCTGCGCGGAATTTTATGTTTTTTGAGTTGCTTTCATGTTACTTTTTGCTTATTTCACTGTTTGTAAGATATTGAAAAGTTTTGCATGATTTGTTTTCTTCAACGGAAAGTTGGTTAATTCTTTATTAGGATAATTAATATTTGTATTAAGGGATATGGCTTATTTCATTGTAATTTTTTTCTCTTGAAAATATTAGATAAAATATCATTAATTATACTTTGCTTTTCAGAATTTTTTGTTTTTTGTATTCTTTTATATTATTTATTGCACATTTCACTGTTAAGATATTGAAAAGTTTTGAGTGATTTTTTTAGGAAACAAAGTCCTTAACCTCCTTTATAACATTTGAGTTCTTAAGATTTTGCAAACGGAAGTTGGTTTACTTATTTATTAGAATAATTAATATTTGTATTAAGGGATATTGGTTATTTCACTGTAATTTTGTTATACGTAATAACTTTTTTTATGAAGTTGTTCTGCAGAGTAAAATTCTACGCAGTTTTTAAATTTAACGTTTGGTGTTCCCTTCAGCCATTTTTCTGGTACATTTAAAAGCCAGACAAAGGATAGCAGCGAAGCTGCTAGTGTAATATATATTCTTACGTATTTCATATTTAGTTAAGATATTTAATAGAATTATAATTAAAATTGTTTTATTTCCCGTGCAGTACAGCTCGGGACAAATATTAAGGAAAAGCTACTCCTGAAAATTAAAAATACAAGAGCACTTGCATTTAGCATTTAATAAATAAATATCTCTTTTAATTTACATTTAATTCAAATAGATTTAGGTTATTTCGGAGCAGGAGAGATGAAAAATGAGCAACGCCTTTGCCGAGAATCGAACCACGGACCTCTGGAATACGCGCCCCGCGTGCAAACCTCCACACCGCGAAGGCACGCTAGGAATGTGGGAGAAATACCTTATAGTGTAACCGTAGTTCTACTCTTTTTTGCTTTCCAGAAATTGCTAAAATTGTCTCGTGCGGCCGATTTAAAAGTTATAAAAGCCGGAGAGAAACATCTCAGCTTAGATGTTCATTTAGTTGTTGATTGTAGCGAATTCGCGGTGAGATCAGATTAGATTTCTTTCGGTTTAGAATGCGTTCTATTTAACGCTTAAGTAGTTTAAAATATAACTACTCTGTGATATTGTGGTACTGTGTGAGTATATTTGAGGAAAAATTTCAGCATTTGTTTTATTTCTTGTGATGAGAATAAATTTTATTAACTTTTTATCAGAAACGCACGCAATAATATATACGTTGGCTATAGCAGTGTAATATAGAAAATTGCAATGTTCTACGGCTAATCGTTTTTGAGTATGTGAGATACATTTCTACGTAGGTACATGGTACGTGGTGAAAAAAATTCTTTCTGAATCCATATTATAATTCGTTTTGTAAAAAATAACCCTTTATTCTGTCCGTACGCACAGATGTCACACAGAAAACGTCTAAATGGATTCGAAAGGGGTCAAAATATGCATTTTCGTTGAAATATTATACCCGAAATGTTTCCGGTTACAATGCTTCTTTTATTTCGTACAAGGAAGTAAAACAAACTCAACTTTAGAAATAAATTGACAATGGCACACCTTTAATAAAATGCAAAACAAGAGGCTTAATTCTCCTTCATCTCGCTTTTTTAAGAAACAAGTAATAAAATGCTACAACGAGTATATATCCATCTTAAACCACTTTTACAATGAAACTATTCGACCAAATATAAAAGATATTAATGGAAGCTCGTGTGCAGAAAGTAGGACATTACTTCGCACTCGTCGGTTGATTTACCGAAAGAATTTCAAAAGCTTTAACTTCTCTTTCTCCTCTGTTGCCATCGTAAGTGGTGAAGAAACAGAAACAAAACCAAAACGAAGATCCCTTTGTAGTTCTTTCGGTAATCACTTTCTAAAGATTCTGTATTTTTGTTTGCAAACTTCTCGCAAAATAAGGAAGAACAAAAAGCTTCGGTGGAGATTTTAAATTGAAGAGATGTGAACGAATTGTCGGATTCTTTTCCTTTCCTTGACATTGTATATGTTTCGACAACAATAGGTGGTATCCTGTTGTGAAATATCGCTTGTTTTCTGTACATTAACTTTGTGTTAAAGGTTCAGTGACCTTCATTTTTAGGAATGTCTTTTTTTTTTTCTGAAACAAAGAGTGATTTGAAACTTTAAGTATTTTCGATGCACTGAAACTTTATAATGGAGGTTTTTTTTAGCTCCGATGGGCGTCAGCTCAGAAGGTCGATTAATATCGAAACGGTATTTTGCACCGAATCGTCGTAAACGGCTGTATCGCTTTCAGATTGTTGCCACCAAATATTATCGCCGTGTATTATACTAAAAGAAATTAAATAATATAGAATCTGCCTGAATGTAGGCATGTTTCTCTTACTGTGAAAAATGACGCTACCTACATTCATCGAATATTGAATAGCATACTCCTTCACGCGGACATGGTCACCTGGAATCCAGAATTGGGAATTGGTTTTATTGTCTCTTTCATATGTTGTAAAGCTTTAACAAATGTTTTATCAAAAATCTCGACAATTTCAAAGCGAGCAGTGGCAACACGTAAGGAATAAAACACTTTTATTTCCAGCGCACGCGACTGTCTATCGGAAATTTAAAAAATATGAGGTTTTTTTTAAATATTATTTTTAGCCTAATATGGCGTTAATCTGAATGCTTTCGAAACGTGTATGTACCTGTAAAAGGAAAATAAAACACTCGTTTGCTGCATAACATTAAATCTGGAAGCTTCCAGATTTTATATTTTAATTAATTTTGTTAAGTAATTTTGAACAAAAAACATACTTATCCGTTTTAATCGTTAATCGCATTTTATTTTCTGTTTTTTTAATCTCAGCTATACGTATCAATGATAATTTACTCAAAGAATGAAGAAATATATTTGAATATTCAGTTTCGGAAATTGGATTTAATAACACAGTTTAACGAGCATTTTTCTCGAAGCTAAAATGAAGAAACGAATATCGCTAATTCCTCATTAACAGTGCAAGAATGGCAGTCTTTGTCATTAAAAGAGCAGCAAACTGGCAAACACGAAAGTAATTTTTTCCTCGAGAAAATTTTTTCGTTCGTCTGCGTCCAGACCGTACCACATTTTTTTTTAAATGTAGAAATTCCCTAAATTAATACTTCCTTGCCGTTCTTGTTTTGAAAAGGGCGAATAAATTGTTTAACAATCTGTGGAAATTTTGAAACGTTATATCCTGTATATTTTCAAATGATGAAATTTTAAGATCATAAATGTCAAAAAGTGTAAAAAAATCTTGCGATTTTCAAACATTCGTCAAAACTTCAGAAATCTAGTTACAAATTTCGTACAATCTCCGTTGAAAATATTCTTCTCTGTTCTCGATTCTGCTTTCTTCGATGGCGCGAAAATAAAATTCTCCTATGCTTTCATTTGTTCGTTAAATGAAGATGTATGAGAAAAATTGCTTCAACATTAAATTTAGCTCACAGGGAAACACCTCTAATGAACTAAAAGCTTATTACTGTACAGAAAAATAACAGCGCAATAAAAGGATTCAAGTATTATAAATTTACAATAATACGGTAAACATTTCAAAAATGTTAATTTTCAGCTTCAAGAAAATACTTCTGCGGTATGCTTTAAATATCACTAAAAATAAAAGGAAAGTACTGTAGGCTTATGATAAGCAGTATAGTTCGATCATCTCAAACGCAACATTGGCTGGCATTCTGCCAAAACACATAGACTCGTCCAAAAGATGCGTTATTACTTACTGAGACGTGAAAGGTTGCGTGAACACCTTCGGAGAAAGAGAATTTATATGCTGAAAGGAAAGAAAGTCCCCATCTTTCCACCCTATTTTCAAAATAACTCCGTCCGAATGACGCATGCGTGTTTGCGCTCATGGTCACGGATGAGGCGGTCATAAAACACGAACTATTGTCATAAAACACGAACTTCATGAATTGTTCTTTAAAGATTCAGAATGTAATGCTGTTAGTTTCTCGTATGTTCATGAATGTTTCCTCTCTTTTCAGAACGCCCACCCTCCGAAGCCACCTTCACCGGCGAGGAATATCTTCATTTCGACGTCCGGGGAAGCGGAGGCGAACCACTGGTCAGTTGGAGTGATAAGGTCTCCTTGCAATTCCGGAGTCGGCAGTCGGCCGGCCTCCTTTTCTTTACAGCAGACCTGGGCCCTCACACGATCGGAAGCGAATACTTCCTGCACGTGGCCCTGGAGAAGGGTGGAATTGCCGTCCACACCAAACTGGGCTCAGGACACGTCGAAAAGATTGTTCGTCCCTCGAAAGTTCGATTCGATGACAACCAGTGGCATAAGATAGTTATCCATCGGAAGGTTAGAGAGGTAAGTCAAATGAATCAATACTACAAGGCAAATGAATATGAACCATTTCCATCTTTCTTGGTGCGAGTTTTAAAGAGTTGACATTTGATACCTCATGACTCAAATATTGATGATTTATAAGTCATTTCTACCATCTGATGCTTGGTAATAACGTTTTATTGAATTTTGTTCATGGATATCCTTTTAAATGTTTTGTTTGATTTTACAGAAATAATTGATACTACTTGATTCTCGCGACATCCGCAATAAACTATAAAATTATATTAAACGGCGTTATATCATAATAGTCATATTTCAGTTTAAGCATTTATGTAAAAAATGGCACTTTCACTTTTGACTTCTATTTCCCGAACTTGATGAACAGCTTAATATCGTAGTAGACGTTTCTCAATTTAAACCATGTAAAAACATGTTGGCAGATTTTAATTTACTCAGAAGTGAGGAAGATGTCGTATCGTTTTTCCAAGAAAAAGATATATTACCTCGTAACCGAATATGTGTATATGTCTATGAATTGAGACTATATTTAACCCTCTGAGCGTTATGACCGGGTTTAGGCGGTCAAGACGGCCTATCTCGAAAGCGTTAACGACGCTTCTAGGCGGTCACTGGAAAAGTGTTCGAAAGCGTTACTGACGGTTCTAGGCGGTCAGTGGTGAAGACCTCGAAAGCGTTATGATCGCCTTAAAGTGCGATCCATGCAGATGTCTCCCAACTCCCCTTATTTCTTGGAACCCTGGAAGATCTCTGAAATGACAACTCTCAGTAGGAGTTTTAAGAGGGTTGCTCTTCTTCGTTTTAGACCTCTATGTTTTATCGTCCGAGGAAAGTGTTTAGACATACGACAGAACTGACGCGAACATTCTTCACTAAATAAATAAGCAGCGTGTAAAAATTTTCCCAATACTATGTTTAAACAGAATAACATTTTCAGAAAATATCCTTTAGATTTCAAACTAAATGCTCAGAAATATGCAAAATGCTTGTGAATTCAATTAAAAAATAGCATTTTCAAAAATATTTGCATTATTTAAATAAATTTACTTATTGATTATGTAGATGCATAAAACCGGCAAGTTAAAAACTTTTAATTAATTTCGTGCGAACCGAATAGTACTGCATCCAGTTAACCTGAATTACATGCAATTGCATATAAAGAATAACATTACTTAAGCAATAAGTCAGATAAAAATTAGAAAATCAATAGTCTATTTTAATAAGTTATAATAAGCGGAATTCTTGATAGGGGTTTATAAAACACAAACTAATTTAATAGTAAATATAATAATAGCTAATTAATTATTCTTTTTGGAACAATACTCGTCGCTTATACTGGTTTCCTGAAGTTTTGTTCTGATGCATTTTAAATCGTCCAATGCTTTTAATGTACATTGATATGAATGTGATTTTTATTAGAAAAAATTTTAATAAGTTTGATTTCATTGTGTGCTCATGCTTTACGTAATATATATTACTTTGTTCAATGCAATGAAACTACAAGCAGCAACGAAGAGCTGAATTAAAATTTTCATATTTTGTTACATAAATTATTAAAATACTATACAGCGTAACATCTGAGTTTCTGAAATGTAACCCGAAACTTTTCTAGGAGTTACAAATTTGAATTAAAAAAATAATGTCAGTAATTAAATAATAAAAACTAAATACTAATAAGAAAAAAAGCACGAACTTTTTTTTTTTTTTTTTTAATGTTTAGTTTATTTTATTACCGAAATAATAAAAGCTAATCCTATTTTAATTTCTTTATTAAAGTACTACATTCTTTAGTCAGCGAGAACTGATCATAGAGCCTTATGCCCAAGATTCATAGGTCTAAGCAGTAAAAAAAGCTTGTCCTTAAAATCGTCACATATTATCGAAAAGATTTTGCAAGACATCATTATTTTAGACAAAACACGACTTTTTAAATTTAATCTCATGTACTAGAGATCAAGTATTTTACCATAACTTTGTTTTCACATATTCAAATGATCGCCGTGTTTTTAACTTCCATAGCTTAAATTAAAGAAATACACATAGCAACTTCAACCATGAACATTTGACTTGAGAGAAATTTTTTTTGACATGCTACCGGAAGAAATGACTAAATATTGATTGATTTTACATTTATGTTAAATGACAGTGATTAAAAAAGAATAGCTGTAGATGTGTAAAAAATCTGTTCATGTAACCTTCTGTATTTCTAAAGGAAAGCTTAAAATGGTTCACAATAACGGATGGCTTTGATCATTCAGTAACGTCATCGTAAGTACATTCAGTTTTCGTGTTTTTGAAGAACTGCAGCAGTTCAGATTTGTCGCCTAATTACACCCCTGGGGGACTTCTTTACTCACAGAACGGAAAAACAAGTTTTTAAACATACTCATACAAAAGACGTACCTTTTCTCACAACATAAATGGCAGATGTGATAATTTGAACACATGCTTTCAATCAGTTGCTTCCTCCTAACAAAGGTTCCTAGCAAAGTCTTGTACTGTTTTAAATATACTGTGCTCGAGCATTGTGAATGCTTCCATTCATTATTTTTAACTTGAAACAATATTAAGTTGTAATTACTGGTTAAAATGGCTTAAAATAAATTGATATATTATACGAAAGTTTGTAAAAATGAAACTGGAGTCACTTCCTTTCACATAATTTCTGACTAGCTCTTCCAAAATATTTTAAAGCTGACTTTACAACATGCTAGAAAAGTCTACATTTTGGGAAATTCATTTGCTGTTTTTAGTTAGTAGTTTTAATTGGAGTTGTTATGTATTATTTGGTTTATTAGATTACGGCAAAGCACTCGCGGGCTATCTGCCTTAAGGGAGGGATGCCTTCGTGGAGGACGTTTTAAGGGAAACTTGCACGTATACACGTTACACATGAGGAAAACCACGAAAACACCCATACAGCCAGTCCGTTCGCAGGATTCGAACCTCGAACCGAACTACCAGTGTTCAGCGACGTTACCGCTCGGCCACTGGTGGGCGGGGTTGTTATGTAAGAAGGCATTTAATCGTTGTTGCTGTGTTACAGTGCTTATTTTATTGTATAAGTACTTGTAAGGCAGCAATAACGTAAATATTGCTTTATTTGTTAATATAATGCATAGAGGAACTTAAAAAAAGAACAAAAACAATTTTTCCTTTATAATATGTCCTTAAAGGGTTTACAATGAAAGCATAGATAACTAAGTAGTAACATTAATAACATTATATCAATTAATTTACTAACCGAATATGATAAAAATTTCAAATTCGAAATCCGTCTTTTTACTGAGTACTTTTCTCAGAAAGAAAAATATCTTCAAAAAATCTATGCTGTTAATACATTTTTGGACAACTTCCTGAGAGGAATTCATTGATAATAATAATATATAGAATCCGTTAGGTGGTTAAAGCCATGAAACAGGTAAACTTAACAACGCACTCGGCAGGCTCACAGACATGGCGGGTTCGGTTTTTTAAATACAGGAAAGCTATGAAGACTATCTACCTAAGAGGAGGGATGCCTTCGTAGAGGATATTCTGAAGAAATCTAGCATATTACACATGAGGAAAACCACGAAAACCAACCATGTAGTCAGCTCGTTCGCCTGAGATCGAACTCAAACCAGGCCGAACTACCAGTATTCAGATTCAGAGGTCTTAACTGTTCGGCATATTGATGAGGCCTTGAACACAATCATGAATCTCCAAACTTATTCAGCTGGACGTGCTGTTAATTCCATATATTCTCCTCTCTTAAAGACTGAAATTCGAATCATAGATCTTTCAGTTTACTAATTGGACCTGCTACTACTTGTACCACCAGGGGACGCAAGGCTGAAAAGGGTAAGTCTTTATAAATGTACCAGCACGACAGCATTACATGATTTGTTGGACACATCTTAACTTCGAAAATTATATGGAATGTATTTCCAAATGGAATATTATGTTCGATTATTTTTTGAAATTGTTGATTCTAAACCGATCGTCACCTTTTCAATCCAAAAAAATTTCGTATTATATCTAGGATGCTATATAAATCATTTTTATCTATATATACTAATTTACGAAATTTAACTTTAAGAAATTTCAAAACTAGAAAGTGTTGGCTGATCATAGAATAGACAGAAGCAGTTGATAATAGAATATAAGGAAATAAACGTTTCAGAAACTGGATCTTTACGTATGATCTTAAGGCTTTAAAATTGTTAATATTTATAACAAAGATTTCAGGAGGAGTCTTGGTATTGAAATAATGGAATACTAATCCTGAATTATTAAAAAGTCCTCCAACGAAGGCATCTCTACTTTCAGGCAGATAGCCCTAGAATGCTTTACATTAGTCAAATAAGCCAAAGCATACTGTTGCTGTAAAAAAAATATTGTATTTTTCTTACATAATTTCGACTGCAAACGTTATATTTGTTACTACGGAAAGATTTTATTTTTGTGTTAAATTCTGAATGCTTGAATTTTTATAATACACAGAAACAGAGATAACAAAAAAGTAAAAAAATATTCATAATTTACTAGGATATATAAACAAAATAATCATTGTTAAATAGATTTTTAATAAGAATATTTTGGAAAAAATAAATGATTAATGTATACTTTACGTCGTACTTCCTAAAAAGCTTGTTTGTTTTAATTGAAAACGATGAAACATTCTTGAATCATCTGACTAAGAAGTGGAATGCTTTCGTGGAAGATTCTGAAAGGAAACTTGGCTCATAATTGTATTTCACACGCAGAGAAATCCTAAAAAGTTCCTATGTAGCTAGGCTGTACGCCATGATTCGAATTCGTATCGAAGGACCAGATTTTGTGGTCTTATCCAGTCGGCCATCAGAAAACTCAGTTTCGTAGAAAACTACAAGAATCGAGTCATTAAATAATTTGCAATTGCATTGCATCGGCTAAATAATTTGCATGTCACATAGATTTAAAAATTTAACATAGCACGCAAAGTCACATTTTCCTAAATACATATGGGCTAGCCAATGGTC